TCCGCGGGACAGCTCTGCTGCCCCCCACCCTGCTTTCGCCGCCCACCTGTCCTGATCTCTGCGGGACAGCCCCGCCGCCCTTAACCCTGCTTCCGGGCAGCCGGTTCCCAGCCACCTCCTCCCAGCCCGCCTGGCTCTGCTCCCCTCCCAGCAGCCACGCTGAGGCCTGGTATTTTGTGTGAAAAGCCTTTAGCAGTTTTTTTGCATTACAGTTCTTAACTATTACCTCTCTACTAAATCTACGCATTAATATATTAATGAATTAATCTAAATGAACACAACCATATTATTAGCATGATAGGCAAGTAACTTTATAGGCTAGTTAAACAATTACATTAATGATCTTGTCTCACACAGTGTAGTGCAGGATTACTCAACACATGGCACATGGGCCATATGTGGCCCACAGCCCGTTTGTTTGCGGCCCGTTGTGCGGTTTGAGTTTATGCAGAGCTCAACACATGGCCCACAGGTAGGGTCCTTTGAACATGGCCTCTACTGGGTACACGCTCCACAATGGCAAGGTGTCTCCCAGGCAGGGTGAGCATTGAAAGACGCAAGCAGACAGGCTGGCTGGAACAGCTGGGTACAGGGTGTCAGCATTTCTGGCCCCCACAGAGTTGATGCCCAGAGCACTGGGGCATTGTGGGAAATGCTTTGTATTCATGTCTGTCAGTGTGAAAAGCTCTTGGCATGTATTTGCATGCATATGCAACCACACTTAAGTTGCAGCCCTCAGCATGTGCTATGAGTATCATTGTGGCCCCTGGGGCTTCCAAAGTTGATTAGACCTGATGTTGTGTGCAGTGATTCTCCCCTTTTTGTTAAGACCTTATCTTTCATTTTTAAAGCGAAGGAAATAAGATGTTTAAGGAAAAAGCAGGTGTTGGCAACCTATGGTTCACAAGCCAAATATGGCTCAGTACGGAGCCAAATGTGGCTCGCAGTTAAAGCTCAGCTTCCCCTTGCACCTCCCACAATAGGGAGTCCAAATGGCGCTCCAGCCTTGCACCCCTCCCCCCCCAAGACTGGAGCGCC